GTAATATGTGATTTCATAGCACATGGTGTAGATTTTAAAACTTAAAAAAAACTGAAAGGGTACCTGGTACGCCACGAGGTAACAGAGGGTAGCCAGGTCCGTGACAGCTCTCCAGTTCTGCTTCCTGTCCTGGGCCATCTTCAGCAGCAGGGTTCCGACATGCATGTAGATGTGCCCCCTCATTTCAGCAAAGATCTCCGATAGATCGTCTGTAGTGCAGGTGGCCATTTTCTTCACGGACTGCATTGCTTGGTCAAAACTGCAAAAAACAATTGGTTCTTAAAATTATTTCTTACATATCATTTCACCACAATCTCTCATTTCCTTTTATAAAACATGGCCAACGGAGAAGCACTGGATGAGTCAAGTGAGCAAACGTGAAACGACTGCTCTTATGTTCTCGAGGTGTGCACAAGACCTCCTGGACTGGCCTGCATTCAAGAAAGTCTCAGGTCTAAGTACAACTTCACTATTGAAACAGCTCCGACTCGAGCTTTTCCTCTTGAAACCCTTCACGGGCGATGTTGTCACATACCAGATGCTCAGTGCAGAATGGGAAAGTGGCGCGCCCAATTGCCAACACCACCACAAGTCTGCAGGCACCCAGAAGCACAGAGCTCTCTGACTGAGCTGCTCAGAGCACTGCTTATGCACTTGATGTGACAATCCGCCAATGCCGTTTTCCATAAAAACCAAACCTTCTCTGATGCCAATCCAGTACAGCTGTTGTGTTTCCCAGCTAAACTGAGTCGGCGACCAGGACTATAAATGCCCAGTGTGATAAACAATACTCTCGGGAGCCTTACCTCTTCAAGGCCTCCACGCTGTCCTGCACGCTCTGCTCGGACAGCGCAAGGCGAAGCACGTTGCAGTGAGCCAGGAGCAGCTCGCACTGCACCCTCCGCCACATCTTCCCGTTGGGTGACATGGCTGGCAGGCTGAGGTAATCCTACAAATCGGGAAGGAGATGGGACTGCTTAACCGAGACTACGCACAGCTTGATCTCATCCAAATGCAAAATCCTGCATTCATCCCAGCTTCAGATAGGGCTCTGGGTCAAAGGGTCGTGGTTTCAAATCCCAGGATGATGATGACTGTGCATACTTCGCACAAATTGCTACAATAAATGCCAAGCTCATCAGTGCAAATGAGGATTTGTTCTCAATCAACTTCCCTGGTTAAATAAAACAAACTAAAATAAGCGCCTACCAGTATAATGCAAAAACCTAAAGACCATTCATTACGCAGCATTAAGGGAAGGTCTTAAAACCATCTCTTAAGAAAAATATTTCTGTGATCTCCATTAAGTCCTATGCTTTGCCTATTTGAAACAATACACGTGTCCTCTAGGGAAATGCAGACGAGCAAGGAACTGGAGAGCTTTTCTCACATCTCTCAAGTAAGGCAGTGAGAGGAAACACCAAGGAAGGATTTTCCCCACCCAGACCTCAAATGAACAATGTTTTTCTCAGTACGGTGCCGCTTTTGTCATCTTGTCCGTTTCTGGTTTCTGTAGCTTTAGCGGCTGCATTACAGACGCCGAGCGTCTCTTTGAGCGGGAGACAGCACGGCCGCCACGCACCTGGAGCGTCTGCACCACGGTGGTGTACCAGGGCAGGCTGTGGCGCAGGACCCCCTTCCTCTCCGCGCCCAGACAGTGCCTGACCGCCTCCTCCAGCCGCCCGTCCAGGCGGTACAGCTGCACCAGCCGCACGTTGACGTGGGCGTCGCCCGGCTGGGCCTGCAGCTCCGACTGCAGCAGGTCGAGCAGCTCGTTCCAGCCGCGCTGGCCCTTCGCGGTCAGCAGCTTCTCCTGGAGGGGAGGGGACACAGAAAAACCAGCAGCTGGGACTTTGCCGCGCACAGCTCCTGGGAAGATGTCTGTGAAGGAGTTCAACCGGGGCTTCGGCGTTATCACAGGCTTCCATTACAAAACCTTTAGACCTCTTCAAAAGCAAGTGCTTTAACTGGAATGACTAAAAACCAGGGGTTTGAAGTCCTCAGTCTTTAATTTTACCTTTCTAAACTGCAGGTGAGTGTCCTAAGGAAAAGCCAGAAGAGATCAATGCTGGCAGCACCGAGTACTAAGAACTGTGAAATGGGACATCCATATGGAATGAAAATAAGAAAGTTCTCATCTGCCTTCATGTATTATCTGGAGCAATTCCATGTGCAAACTTTAAACATGAGAGCGAAAACAATCTCTGCAGCTTGGATCTGCATTCATCTCATGGAACAGTACGGTGTTCTTATGCGATACCTCCGGTTAATCCAGAGACACATGACAGAATCCGCACATTAAGTTGTCAAACTCTGGAGGCGAAAACATACAAAAAGTTTTTTTATTTTGTGTGTGTTTGGAAAACAAAATGTAGCACCCAGTAAAATGTTCCATTTGCTTTGCTATGTGTCATGTGGGTTCTGTCACCTTGTAGCAGGGTAGTCAGAGAAGCACAGCAAAACTGAGAATCCTTTTAGTACAGTTTTGCAACATTCAGATCTCCCAGGATGCTGACTTATTTTAGACTTAAAAGCTGCTTAAAATGAATCAGAATAAAAACCTCCTAGTTTTCAACACTTTACATTCGCCAATTAATCTTTGCAGAGCTATCTAGCTTCTAATCATAACTGCACACAGGTATTCTGCATTGCTGGTTTGGATAAATGGATAATATGCACAAGGTTAAACATCCTGTTCCTGTGGTAATGCACCTAAGTGAAAAGGCTGGAGCATTCTGAGGATCAGGAGTTCCTGTTTACAATCTCTTAAATAACACTGTACTCAGTAATTGGCAACTGACAAAGTTGTGGTCACTCAGCAGAACTGGTACAGTAACAAAGTGCTTTATCATTGAGCGACACAAGAACATACAAATTCAGACACAACCTTATATAACAATTGCACATAGAAGCAATAACCCACTCCACCTATTTGCGCGATACATCTTGCTACTGGGGTTTTGACAACGGTGAGCAGTACCCAGTACTTCTGAACATCAGACACTGGTAACAAGATCTTTTGAAACCCATGATGGTCAAGAGGCAATCCAGGACTAAACGTCACACTTGACGGCAAACTACTTTCTTTCAGTGAGAAGATAAGAAGCTGAAAGGACAACACGAAATAACAAGCAGACAAAATAATAATACCTACAAAAGCCCTTCCTGCTGCAGCAGCAAGATGTAACATAATCTTGCAGGAAAAACATTAATTTGACGTTCGATCCTTTCCTCGAAGCTCATCATGCCCATTTCAGTACCCACTTGAAGACATACTTTGGAGATGTAACTTTTGATAAATACAACTATTTGTCAACCGTTGCATTTTCTACAACTAGCACTCTGTCACCAGGAGCTGATTAAGTTGTTTCTGGACTTGTCAAGTGACAGATTGGTGAAAGTCCGATGTCCTTAGAACCAATTAAGCGATTTCTGACTGTCAGCCACTGTAGAGCAACCTGCGTGATTAGAAGCTGGATTTAAAGTCTTAAGACTTTTTACAGTGACTTACTTGTGCAGAACATTCTCTGCTCTGGTTTCATTATGAGCAAATACCAGCCTAACTGGAACTTGATCTGTGGCTTGAATGGCTCCCTTTGCACGAATCAAATTCTAAGAACTGCCAGCTTACATATGTAGCTAAGCCATGAGCAGCCTCCTTCCCAGCAGAGCTCCGCCTGTGTTCACTAACCTTCAGGTTGTAGACTGCAGGGCTCCCAGGGAAGAACTTGGCTGCCTTCTCCACCCAGTACTCCGCTCTGCCATCAGGCTCATCCTTACTGCACAGCAGCTGTGCCACCTTGAGGACCAAGTCTTTCTGCGCAGGATTTAGGTCCACAGACCGCTGCATTGAACAAAACATAAAATACGTGGCCACTGAACTCCAGAACTGCACACATCTCCAACACAAGTCTCTGCCGGCCCCGATGCAAGTCACGCTACTGCAGCTTCTGAAACGTTCAGTGTGTTGCACTACTTACACCTTCAACATTAACATAATCAGACTGTTCATACATCCATTTCAGGGTTGCCCAGTTGATAAATCTGGAAAGCGAACGTCCTCAGCAAGCTCCGACAGCCATACAAGGGCTTTTACTAAGTGGTATGTCCGTCGGGCTGACCTCCTTACAACAGTGATCTGTGCATTTTAACCTGTTGGACACAATGACCAAAGTCTTGCAGACAGTTGCATAAAGCAATTTAACCTAACCTTCCATACCTTTTCCCTTAAATATCTGAATGTAATAAGTATGCAGAACAAACCGGCTTAACCCAATGAAGTCCATAAAATAAATAAATGAAACACTGATATTGATCAATGCTTAAGGTATTTTTATGGACCCAGTGACTGGACTTGCAGTAGGGCTGACATCACACTACAACATATCCTGGGTTAAAACGGTCCCTTTCATTCTTCATTCATTTTGCCTGGAAAGCAAAATGGGGGGGGGGGAGATTTCTTGATAAAAGCGCAGTTCAGACCTTGTAGCATCCCACCGCCTTCTCGATGTCCCCTTCTTCTTCATAGAGCTGTCCCAAAAACTTGTGTGCTTTAGGATCCCTCTCCTGCACAGTTAAGTAGGCTGAGACATGTCTAAGAAAATAAATAAATACAATTTTAAATACAAATCTTCTTCCTCAGCCAGGCGCAATGGCAGAACCTGAAGGTTTCTGCTTACCTTTTGGCGAGTTCATATTCCTTCACATCGAAGTACAGCTTAGCAAACAGAAATCCCTTTACAGGCTTCTGAAAGAAGAAAAAACAGAACCAGTGAGCCAGCTGACAAAGGACTGTCTGCAGCGAATGCTTATTAAAGGCAACAGGGACTGAAAATTGAATCACATTTATAAATCATCAACTTGCAAGCAGACTGTAAGATTACAATGTTGTCACTTAAAAGCATCACTGAATTATACAAATATACCAACAGTACTGGATACTTAAACTGAAATTTAGATCAGCACTCTTTAAAAGTTTTAACAAAGCAATCTATAAAGTACAGAGCTTTACAAGCTCTAAGGAAAAAAGTCAAGACATACATTACTGGACAAAATGTTCCAGGTGGCACAAAGAACAATTTCTTACTTCACACCAGGAATAGGTGTGTCGCAAACCATGATAAAAATGGTGGGAGGAAAGATCTATAAACGTTTGATTTTCCCCTGAGGCAAAAATCGTGATTATATCTCAATCAAAAGCAGAACAGCCTGTTCCCTTTTTCTAATGTGGTTTCACATTTGTTTTACAAAATGTCACAATTAGAATCAAATATTATATTACCAAACACACTTCTAATCGAAATGGTGAGGTCGAGTACTGTACTTAAACCTTTTGAATGTTATTTTCATCCAGTCTTATTTCAGCTGGTTGCTACTTCCATTCTAAGAAGTCAAACCAAATTGTTTTCTAAGTTATAAGACATACAGATTGTTTTCTTTCAAAAAGTTGATTACCCAAAATATTCACGTATGAAACACTCTGGAAATTGGTTAGAATTCTAGAAGCATCACAGTTATTTAGTTTTCATTTGAAAGTAGTTGTAACAGTGCACCAAACCAAACGACGAGGCCCTCCAAAAATTAAGTTTAAGATCTTGTGTAAAGTACATGTCAACTATAAAAATAGTAGCACAAACATAAGCAACGATTACGAAACTCCTGAAACTGTAGTTAACATGCAGCACATGATCTGCAGAGGAAGCAGGACCGGCGATTCTAAGGCGCTCCGCTCCCACTTTCAAAACATTCGGGCCCGCCGCGCTTTCCTAGGCAAAGGGGGGCTCGACCAGGAACTACGCGTGGCTCCCAAAAGCATGTTTTCAGTGCCCAACACCGAGTTCAAACTTCGTATGTGTCCAGCGTCCCCAACACAGAGCACCCCTCGATCCCGTGCCCGACAAATTGATTACTGAGCCCGCCGAGGCCTGCTCTGTTCTCCGCGGCACTCCGGCGGCGACTCCATGCCGGCTTCCACTCACCTCCTTTAGGGACGGAGAGGAACTCTGCACCGAGGACACGTAGCGATCCACGTCGGCCTTGCTGCGCCGCATGTTGTGTTACGAATAAATAAAACGTGCATACACCCAAGAGATTTAATCGCTGAAAAATACGAAAAAGTAACCAGCCCGGTTTCTTCTTAGTTCAAACTCCCCTACGAGTGCGGCTACTGTACCACTCGTAGACAGTAAATGGCTGAAGGAGCCCTCTACACGCCCGCCCAGCTCTGGCGTCAGTCGCTGACAGGAGGAGACGTACTTCCTGAGGGCCTAGCGATTACTTTTTAAAATTAAGTGGAGGGAGGTGGCGTAGACTAGAAAGATATTATGGCGTAGCGCTGTGGGGACACTGTGATGTCACTGGCTTTCATTATTATCGGTGTTATCAAAGTAAACGGAGTCTTTCCATTTATTGAAAGGGCGGGGCAAAGATTGGTTTTATTTTCCTTTTTTAAAGCTATTTGGATTTTTTTCCCCTCACAAATTCAGCGCTATCGCTAATATTTTCCCTCTAGGAGCTTTCAAACGCTTATCTGTTTTATTTTGTTATTGCTTTAGGTGTTGAATCCATTTTCTGCATGTTTTTGAAGTTTATACGACTTTTTGAGTGGTGGATGTGCGACTACTTCGTTCATTGAACTCCTGTGTTTAGTTCAACTTCCTACTTATAAATGTCTCTTAAAATACAAAAGTATCTGAAAGAGTCGCAGTACATACTGTCATTATAACGACCACATCTATTTATTTCTAGATAACTGCACGACAGAATGCGCGATCATCTGCATGTGATAAATTATCCATATAATACATTAGTAATGCAAACCCTTTATAAACAACTATATTAATAAAAAGCAGACGGACAGTGCCTGGGAGATTTAGTACAGTAGTATTGGAATAATATTTTCCTAGACCAAGCGTTATGAATTTTAGCAGCCATTTCCCTCCACTCGATTTAAAATATATAATATTTTTAAGGGTAACATTTCAGGGCACAGTGACCAACATTTAGTTCAACAAACTTGAATGCCACCTTTGTAAAAGAAAATTACAACATTTATTGTGTTTAAACCAAAAAACAGCACAGTAACTCTTATGACCTCTGTGCTTAAATTTCAAGTGGTGCAATTCTGAATAAAATTCTTAAGAACTATTTCTAGAAAATGCAGTTGTGTGTAGAATATCAGAATCGCATCGTTACAATCAACTTTCTCATTGTTTCCTGCAATCTGGAAGCAGATTTTTTTTCTCCTTTTCTAGTGTTGGTTCTCAGATTGTTCTTCTTAAGGCAATCTGTACTGAAATCACTAACCCAAAACAATACAAAGTAAAATAAACATTTAATCAACTTTTGGACTCTGAGTTCTTTCATGTCGATTGGGAAATCGATCGACCACAATGTGGCAGTGTTTCTAATTTTAAAGTTGGAGGTGCTGTATGACAGTGTGTCACAGTACATGGTTTTAAGAGATAAATGACACAGTGCTGGAGGAAAGTAGAATTATTCAAGAATCCCAAGAATTGGTACACCACAGTTTAACCATGTGCAGCAAACTATGCACATGTAGTCAGGAATCCACACTTTATGCTTCTAAAATCAAATCATTGTGATGTACCTTAGAAAATACATTTCAGATTGAATTAAAAACTGAGGAGTTTTCAGAGGATTCTGTTGTCAATAATTGTGGAAACTAAGGAAAATAGGTATGTTAATCCAATAAGTCATAATAAATGAATAATTGTTGTATGAAAATGAAAGAAATGGCTTAATGTAGTATTGACCTGCTATAAGATCACCGTAGTAACTCATCAGAAAGTACAACACTGTCTCTTGGCCTATGTACTGTATAGGCAGTCTTACCACTGCAGAGTTTTAAACATAGTGAACACTCGAATTACTCTAGAGGAAGAAATCTCACATAGATATCAACAGCAGTAGCCATCGATTTAAAAATGTTTGATCTCTATGCTCCTGCTCTTTAAGATTTTCTTCCTAGACGCCACAGTGTTTTGTTCTGGAGCTGTGGTGCTATTGGGGTGTAGAAATGGGCTATATGGGGCAAAGTGACACATTTTTTCCACCTAATTCAGTTTCTCCTTAAGTTCTTCAAAGGAAATGTCAACTTAAGATATTTCTCAAATATAAATTATTTTGAAGCCTCTACAAAAAAGAGCTGTGAATTAGTGCTTAAATCATTCTTCCTGCTGGCTATAGAAGTGAATAAGCCCAAGACATTTTAACAAACCTTTCTATATACACATCTATCCATGATCCATCCTTGGATGGATATCCATACTCATGATCCATCCATTTTCAGTGGATATTCTACTTACGGGAACCTATCCCAGCAAGCACCAGGTGCAAGGCAGGGTACACTCTGGGCAGGACTCCAGTCCATTGCTGGGCACACACAGACACAAACACACGTTCACACCAGAGCCACTTTTCCCAGAAGGCAATAAACCTACCAATATATGTTTGGACTGTTGGGGGAAAGCAGAGCATCTGGAGGAAATCCATGTGAACAATTAGAGAATTCCACAGAGATAGCACCCCAGATGCAGAACTGAACTCAGAGCCCCAGTGCCATGAGGCAGCAATGCTAAATACTGCACCACTCTCTATAGATACATTTAATTTTAAGGACCATTTATCTCTGTAGTCTATTCCCATTCACTTATTAATCATTTAGTTTTCAACCCTTCCTCTCATTTTCAGAGATGGTTACAAATTGCAGCTGTGTAGTAATAATTAGTAGGACACTTATTCTTCACAACTTTTCCTCCAGTATGGAAATGTTATTCAAACATTCTACACTGACAAATGAAAAGAGCCGAATCTCTTTGGTTTTGTCCTGTCTATACGTTTAATGTAGTGACACTCACTTCATATCCTGTAAAGCTACAAATCTGGAGGTTTTCTTGGTGACTTAATTTAAGGGCTACAGACTCGTAAAGAGTGTGAATTTGGAGCAAACTGAGATAGCAAATGAACTGTCATGTTGAATCAAGTGGAATGCAGATGAGAAAACTGGCTGGTCCAGAACAAACCACACCCGTTTGCTCTGCTGAGGACAAATATTGTTACTAAGACTTCTACTACTTATAGGGTCAATTAATTACTAGATTAGCGAGACTGAGGAATATCATGTTTCTGCTGTCAGTAGTGGTGATGAGCCAGTAGGTGGAGCTCTTTCTCTGGATCAGCTCAAAACCAGTGTCCCATTTTGGTGATAGGCAGCACTTCTGTAGATGATGACATCCTTCAGATAACATAAACTTGAGGACCTGACTACTTGGTTTCCAAGAAAATAAGTGTGAACTCCAGTTTGGTCTTATATAATCTGACCTCCCTAAATCCTTCCCTTGATTTAGCTGTTGATGGTATTTCATACTCCTCCCCAGATCTGCTGTGCGGAGGGGCTACACATCTGCAGCGGACGAAGTAGACCCCTGGGGAGAGACCACCTGACGAAGTCCCCCAGAATCGAGAAGATCTCAGGTTTTCACTAGTTATGCCTTTTGCCTCTGATTTATCCCTCCAATCGAAACACATTGGGAGTATAGATTCCAATGGAAATTACGATTTCAGCAAACTAAAAAAAGAACAATCACATTATACTGTTACAGTGCAGTAATGCACATAACACATTAGGGAATTATGAACATGGATCAGAGGCTACAGGCATTTAACCCTTCAAGTAAATGATATACAATTTTTATTTCTCAACTTTACACAAGTGTTCTTTTTTATTGAAACTCAATATTGCACATTTTATAAAGTTCATTAAATGCTGAATGGATGTAAATGGCATTCAATCCCTTGGGGCTATGTCAGGAGATTGAGTCGTAGTGAATGTGTAGATTTCAGAGTCAGGTTGTCTTCAGCTCGAGAGTCCGATTATCCAGGCAGTTGCCGTTCATTGAATCTTACAGATCCCTCCATGTGTTCCTTAAAGAGCAGGAGTGAATGGAATGAATGGTGCTAACCCAAATGGGCCTAATGGAAAAACAAATAATTCCATCTGCATGGAAAAAGGCAGTAGCATCTGACTGCAACTTGGACATCTCCAGTGCATCACCCAGCACAATCTGAGGCAGACGTGTTACACCAAATGTCCAAACACATGCGGCTCATACTAGAACACCACAATCTGCAATGACTTCACTGTACAAGAGATTGAGAATATACATTTTATTTAATACTGGAGCTGGCTGCTTGAATAATACAGATAAAGATAAAGTACAATATTTATTGGAGTGATCAGTGATGGTTACAAGCAGAATTTCAAGACTGGCACAGAAGCTCTTCTAAACAAAAGTGTGGCATCACAAACTGTGAGAACATGCAACATGTTGAATGACAGTCCAAGACATTGCGACTCAGATTCTTGACCTTCAAAAAGTAATTCATACAGTACACATTTGAATTTCATGTCTCAATTATTTGCACCCATTTTTAGTGTCAAATTTTATCATGGAATGTGTACCATGAATTCATGTTTACTGTGAGGTTTTAAATAAAAGAAAAGCAGCGTTTAAGAAGCCTTATTCATCTTTCTGACGTTCATGAAATCTCTTTAGCACGTTCAGGATTAACTGCTGGTAACTCATCTGAATACGAGATGTTAAAATGTTCTTTTGTAAATGGTTTAGGTCAAGTGTTGTCAGTCAAATCTGATATGCTGTGCAAAACATCTTCACAGACTGTTTTATTACTAACTTACAGTGATGGTACAAAGTATGGACTGCTTAGAGTTCTTGCATTGCCAGCAAGAAAGGTGAAATAACCTGTTTTCATAGATCAACTGAACTATACTCTATAAACAGTGATTACAAAAGGTGAGAAAGAAGAAAAAAAAAACTGCTGTCAGGTGGTCTTAATTTGTTTCCACACTAATGCACTTTAAAAAAGTAAACAAAGTGTAACACTGCTCCAGGGTAGGTAAACAATGCTTGGCTGTTTATAGCTGTGAATAATTTCTGGTTAGCAACAGAAATTATATTCAATTCCAATCTCTTTACCCTCAGGAAGTATTCCTTCTCCATCAAGACAGAGATGAAGATGTGTTTAAATAAACATGACATGTATTGGCTAATCTGTTTTTAAGGCAGTGTCTCTCAAACTTAAGAACAAGTATAAATCTGACTACCAAAATACAGGCTGTCAAAACACAGCAGACCACAAATACATTATTGCTAATAACTACTATGTAACAGGTACAAAACTGATAAGGCACAAGAAACAAAGGATACAAACAGGTACAAAAACCATGCAGGAAAAATCAGCAAGCTTATAAAGGCCCAGCTATAAATAGTATTTTAAGAGGCACCGATTACATATCATCTCTCAGAGATCCAAACTGTTAATTCTCTTTGGGCGTTAAAAATGTTTGAAATGTTCGAACACAAGACACTGAGTCCTCCCTTTCTTCCTTCCCTTATTTATAGCATCATCCTTTAGGCTTGAACATGTTATGAACACACACGTTCTACAAAGACTCAACTGGGGAGGACATTTTCAGGCTGTTTATATTTGAAATGCTCGTTCTATGCATTGCTTAAATGCGGAAACACAGAATAAGATTGCTTTGTGTTAGGTATCTTTGTTAGCACTTTTTATTCTTGAAGCTACACAAGGTAAAGGTTTGAGCACCAGGATTAGGCGAAGGCCTCAGATAAAGACAGGACTGAAGTCAGCCCTGATGAAAATTCTGACCATTAATTATTTTACTTCATTATGTTTTCTTATTGAAACAATCGAGCTGAAGACTGGGTGTGCTGGCGCCACTCCCATGGCCCCCTGGATGTGTTCAGCATGGGTAGTGTCCTCCGCCGGGCCTGCACTCCGCGGCCAGGAGGGGTGGGGGCAGGTGCTGGGGTGGGAGTGGGGGGTCTATTTCCTCCCCACAGTTTCTGCCAGCTTCTTCAGCCTCTTCTTCAGCTCCAGGGGGAACTTCTCATAGCACTTCTTGCACACCGGCTTCATGTCAAACTCCACAAACTTGTTCCTGCACAGAAAACAGACGAGCAAAATGAGCCAACGGTGCCCAGCGAGGAACTGTGCGCTCGGCTTCTGCGACCGCGAGGGCGCAGCGACTTCCAAATGCTTTTCGCTCCTCGGAGTGCTAGGAGCCACTATGACAAAGACGTGCATCAAAACAGGGCGAAGGGGGCGGACCCTGGTCGCTCATCGGGAGGGCTCCGGTACCTACAAACACTTCTACTGCCTGTGAAGGCACTTGCACTGCATGGATGGAATAATCTTTTGTACTCAGAGTTCAGGCCCAGATTAAGGTTCGTAGGCCCAAGGCCTTGTGTAGGCCCTGTCTTGGAGGCCTTTTTATAGGTACACCGATTTCTATAGGTAGATGGGTGTTCAAACTGATCTTGAATATTTTTTTCAGAGAGCCTTCCCTTGCTATATATATTCAAGAAGAGATGTTTGTTGCAGTTTTTCTCATACAAAAAAAAATGTCATTTATTGGAAAATCTGTCCGTGCCACTGGCAGACTGAGGTACTGCTGCTACCTGAGTAGGAGCGATTTCTGCAACAGCCTCGGGGCAACGATTAAAGCCTGCGAGGGATGTCAAACAGAGCTGGGGGGGGGCTTGTTTTCATGTTCCCAACTGCTTCTCTGCTCAACGCGTCTGCAAAAACCGACAAGGAAGACGCCCTCATGCAGGCCATTCACATGCACACGGGTTCGAGCCAATCCCAACTGCCAATCAAAGGAGCGGTAGTTCTTCACTGCACGCTGGAGGTTTCGCACAACACAACTGAGAAGCAAAGCCGCCCGCACTGCCTCGGCTCATCTGGTCCTCTGCACGCAGTAACGTAAAACAATTCGGATGAAAAAGTACAGCGAGCCAGCTGAGCCAGGCAGATGCCATAAAATGGCTACACATAGATCCAGTTTTCTTTCGCCATGACGGACAAATACCAGCTACACAGCAACGGGTGTGCCTCGTCTTTTCCAGGTGCATGCCATAAAAAAAACGTCCATTTTAGTTCCTCTACAGTGATGAGAAGTTGCCTTTAGCCTTGCTTTGATAATTGTGATGCTGTGTCTGACTACCCGAGAACTGGATAGTGAGGACCACAGCACAGTGAGAGGACAAGCTAGATCAAGTGACTGCGTACCATACCGCCCCCTCAAAAAGGACAGGGAGCAGTGAGCAATGAGCTCAATCTAATGTTTGCCAAGGCCGTGGGGCAGACCCTTGCTGCTGTGAAACTTTTTTTTTTAATCACAAGAGGAAATCTGGATTGATTTGACAACTGTTTCGACGGTATTTTCATGCAATGCAAGCAATGTGAGGAACTGATCAATCGGCAGGACATGAATGTCTCCAGGCCAGAGGTTAGGGGTTATCCAATGGTGAAGACCTCCATTGAAGGCAAGTCATTCATGAGGGTTTGTTAGCCAGCAGCACTACAGAGAGGGTCACCTCATTCTCACTCATTGCCCGGGAAAGCAGCTGTAGTATCTCGGGTTCTCCTTTATCTACTCGACATCCACTATTCCTTTAATCCACTAATCCTTTGGGTTAGTGAAATTAAGACTTGAAAATTAATCCATACTACATCCTCAAAAGAGTTGCTAATGACAAAAATGCCGACGACACAATTCTTAAGCACTAAACCTAACAAGGTTTCACCAAGACCAACAGGATCACAGCTCTCCTCATCTCCCAGCCCTTACGAAACAAGCAATTACAATGTCCGCTCAGTGTCGGGTCTGGGTATGAACATGCCACCAGGTCTAAACTTGCGTCACTTCCCAGCATCCTCCAGCCCCTTTCGGACGTGAGTGCCCTCCATGACACCACACAGCCGAGGAAGGACCCCGACTTTTACAGCATGCTTTGCCATTCTCAGCCGGGGCAGAGAGGAACTAAAATGAATACAGACTCGACACTGGTCTTATTTCTCAACCTGAACCAGTGAGAAAAAAGGGAGCAGACGGATGAAAAAGACAAGAGGGAGGAAAAACAGCACATCACAGCAATCAGGGAAAACCCCCAAAAAAACAAGGAGGACAAAAATAGGGGAAAAAAGGGATGTCTTGGACACTAACCAATGAAAAGAAAGCAGGAGTGAAGGAAAAGGGAAAGAAAGGTTTACAAACAGATGGAGATTTTCTTCTTCTTGTCCTTGGAGTCACGCTCGCGCTTGGCCAGCCGGCGCTTCAGCTCCTCGGGCATCCTCTCGTAGCAGTGCCTGCACACCGGCTTCAGATCGATCTCCACAAACTTGTCCCTTCGCAGGAGGGAGCAGAGGGCAGCGGCACAGACAGGCATCAGAGACCAGAGACCAGAGGACAGGGGCACAGACAGGCATCAGAGACCAGAGACCAGAGGACAGCGGCACAGACAGGCATCAGAGACCAAAGACCAGAGGACAGCGGCACAGACAGGCATCAGAGACCAGAGACCAGAGGACAGGGGCACAGACAGGCATCAGAGACCAGAGGACAGGGGCACAGACAGGCATCAGAGACCAGAGGACAGGGGCACAGACAGGCATCAGAGACCACGCATACTAGACCAATATATCCACACACACCACAAACACCCCAGACCCACAACCACACACCGCACGCCAAAGCAGCACCCATTCACACCCCACTTCCACATCCACACAACCACGCCTGACCAGCACCCAACACACCCCATGCCAGACCCACACCAGACTACAAGCACAACTCGTGTCCAGGACTGGGAAAGAGAGAGAAGCATCAGGAGTCCGACCCTGACATGATACAGGTCTCTCCAGCCACAGTTACTGTGTCACTAACTGTACTACATCTTGCAGTCGGAACCTGCGCCTAATGACAAAACCACTTATTATGAATCATAATGTATATGACAGTCCATGAAACCTCATCTGTTACTGAAAATATACACACAAAACGTTTATTGATTTGTCGATGTGGGATAAACAATCATTGAAAACTTGTTTTCCTGTTATATCTGTCCCATGTTGAGCTCTGTGAAGTCACAGTCCCCCCTACAACCTGCATGAACAATGACTTCCAATGCATAAATACTGCAAATACTGACTGAATGCAGTCTGTGTTTGCAGTTGTAGGGTACTGCCTTTCTGACTCACTTGCTTTTGTGAGGGCACTGAGCTTTAAAAGAAAACACTGAGGCTTTTTACATTAAAAATCTATTTTCAATTAAAGTTAAAAAAGAATGTGTAATAGCAGTAAGGTACTTCCATTAAACATACATTTTCCACTTTTACAATGTAATATCCTACTTATGTTTTGTTTTTCATCAAAAGTATTCATCACAGTGGTATGAGCCATGCTCCTGCTGGGTGTTATTTGAAGGTTGACCACTAGACTACAGACGACAGCAAAATACCTCCAACTCCTACAGTACCTGGGAAAAGAATTGCAAATTTTCACATCCAAATAATACTGTTGACAGACTACGATCCTCAGCTGGAAAGTTTGCCAGTGTACTGGGTGTAAAATGTTTTATTCACAGACAAAGACGTAACTAATACAACCCATAACATTGTGAAGAAACCTATGCACTGAATCAAAATTTTAATTGAAGCATCTGAACTTCAGTCTTTTCTTCTCCTCTCAGAGCGTCTCCCCTTTTATTTTGTACTTACTTGAGAGTCAGCTTGGTGTTACAGGTAGAACAAGCAAAGCAGTTCACACACCAGGCCTTGTTCAAAGCAGAGACGACTGGAAAACAAAAAAATCGATCTTTTACAAAGTTGTATGCAGCATCAGCCATCACACCAATGCTGAGCACGAACACGCAGGGCATTCATTTTGAAAACTGAAGTTCATTATTGTTTTGGGCTTACTCTTGTGTAACTATTAATGTTTAAAACTGGAATTTTAAAACAAAAACTAAAGATACAGCAGACCATTAAGCACAAAAAGGACCAAAACGTATGTGTCTGCACTGATAATAAGGGATTCATGTAGAAACAAGCACAAATGTAGTTTTGCACAGCACAAATATTTGTTTAAAAAATGAGATCTTACCATCTCCTTCTATGACACGGTTGCAATGGTAGCAAACATCCCCAAAGAGCTGTCAAAAGGAACAGAAGATAATCAGACCTTCACAGGGAGTAAATGTTCACTTGAAATATTCTTACAGTTCCAAAACTGAAATGTCTGCATTGGACCCAGGGCTCCAGTGCTGAGAGGCTGGAATGCCGACCACTGTGCCACCGTGCCCAATGCAACATTCTGTAGAAAAAAAATATCCAGAAGGTGGCACTATTGCACAGTTCAATACTGGCTCTGCTAGACATAAAGAGGGTGACTTTTTCAGCACTGGTACATGTCAATAAAATATGCACCCGTCGCTTACATCCAGCTTGCTACCTTTTTGTGTTGCGCCTTCAACAACCCTTCCACGTGTGAAAGGGTTAGCTGAGCACCACGATTCACTACATTTGTTTTCCTCAAGATTTTAGAGCTGCAAATAACATTCCAGTACCACTACAACGCTGGATCAAACAACAAAAAAGAGTCATCGCCTCTTTTCCCCACAAACCTCATCACCTTCACAAGATCTCTGGTTCTGGACACTTCATACAAAGAAGGTCAAAACTACAGAAGCATAAAGGGTATCTCCTAACTAGACAGAGGAAGATTTTCACACCATATAAAAAAAATCAGTCATGCACTGCCTTATTAATTTGATCAAGCTATGTGAAAAGACAACCGATTATGTTGGGACACGACACCAGTGAATGGCGATGCACGTTACCTGATTGTAGTGCGTCTCACAGTAAGCCAGCCCCTTCCTTTCGTAGTGACGGTGTCCAAGGAACGGTTTTTCACACTTAGCACACACAAAATGCTGCAAATACACAGTGTGTTAGTGAGGGTTCACGGCACACACACACACCCTGCCCTGTCAGGCAGCAGAGCCCTGCGGACGGGAGGGGGCTGACAGACGTCCTGCAGCACAGGTCCAGCACTGGAATTCCTGCGGTAATTAAATGATCTGATGATGGCTGAATGAACCGTGAATCAATTTCTCCTCCCTTTCTCAACTTCAGATCCCATACTGTACAAAGCAAGGTGCTTAGGCTGGGGACGAACGAGCTGCAGGCTGAGATTGGACTGGAAAGTAATGCTCTGCAGGGTCTCGGGGGCCCTGTTGTCCGTAAGGTCTGTTCAAGCTGGGTTAACCGGTAGCTGCAGGCCTTCCACATCCCCTCAACATGTCCAAGTGCCTCTCACAGTAGGCATGTTCCCTCCGCTCATAGTAGGGGTGGCCCTGAAAGGGCCTCTCGCACACGGCACAGACAAAGTGCTGACCGAGTAGGCAGAGGCCAGCGCAGAGAGGGGGAGCGAGAAGACGGGAAAGGCAAACACAGACGTGAGAGAGGAAAGAGAGGCATGGAGGAAACGGAAACATTCAGGAGAGAAAAAACAATTTTAAAATGTGACCAGGGCTGTACGGTTCCGTCTTAAAATGTCAAAAGATGATAACTGTCGTCTACATAGTCGTCTTTTTTCTCAGCAAAAAGAAAAGCCAAGGCCAGTGCTATCTGACATTAATAGCTACTGCTTACAAAACAGTCCCATGTTCAGACTGATAAAATGAGGTCATGTCTACGGCCAAAACGGTGACGTCACACGGGGCTGCTGCTCCCGCTGGGCTCCTGTGGCCCTCCGGATGGCAGACATACCTCCACGTGCCACTGCTTGCCCATGGCGTTGACCACGCGCCCCTCGATGGGCCGGCGGCAGGCCCCACAGATGGGCACCCCCATCTTGTCGTGGCAGGGCAGGCAGTACAGCTCCCCCTTCAGCTCACGGGCGTCGGCCGTCAGCTCCTTCCTGTGGGAGAGGGAGAGGGGAGACCCAGGGGGTCACAGCACTTCCCTGGACGCCCGAGCGTGCTTCGTGCTGAGCTTCCTCTCAGCAATATTACTGGGAGGTCCTTGAGTGTGCCGTAAACCACGCTACAAATCAATCCATTCAAACGGTAAAGGCTTTGCTTTTAAAGCCTGTTGCTTTGAAATGAGAGCATCCTGATTTTGTAAAACTCACACAATCCAGGTCTGCCACCAATTGTCACTGTCACACTTTCACCTCGTCTCGTGTGTTACTTTCAACTGCACATCACATATCAGCTGGACGGTACAAGCTGTTGCACATTAATCTGTGTGAAAGACAATCCCTCTTATTCTGAGACTGATTCATGCAGCACGACGCCAGCAGCTGGCTGTTTCACCTCCCCAGTCTGCCCAGGGGGGCACAGATCAGCTCTGGTGGATTACATGCCTGCTTTGCTTTGCACTGCAAATAAGTGTTCTTGTCCCGACTTAAAAGCTAATGAAACACTTCAAGGGATTTCCGGATTAAACATTTATTTAATTAGCAAAGCAAAGTCCAATGCTCACGGGTGCTGGGATACTCATTAATTACCACGGAATAAAATCCTGTGAGGTCTGGACATGTCTAATTTACATGCTTCCAAGGCAAGATTTCCTGTGTACAGACTCTCTATCACAGGTGCAATTTCCAGTGAACAGACTACACAGGCCAGCTACGCAGGAAACCGAGCCAACAGCAGAACCCTGCCACAGAAAAGACAGAAGGAGTTAGGGCTCTGGAGCTCCTGTTTTTTAACAATAATTAGAACCGGGGGTGAATCCAAATCTGATTCTTACGACATCAACTATCACACTTTTGACTCCAGCATGATAGGGTCACAGCATACTTGATAGTGCAATTTCCTGTGTTGGCTAAGCTCCATGCCCTTGTGTTTTCTGACCCGCTTCGTTTTACAAGGCTCTCTGCAAATACCAATCAAGTGGTGACAATGGCAACACACCTGGTGCAGGTATTCAGGGCAGCTAGGAACCGCCTATGCAGGGTGCTATTTCTGAGGTAAGGCTCAAGATTTGGTGTACTGACCATGACGGAATCCATTTTGAAATAAATACGATCAAGAAAAGGCGATTTTTGGCGCTTTATCCAGGGAAAATGCAATCATTTTGTCTTAGAAAAATATTTTCTTCTGAATAATTACTTAAGGGTGTGGAACATACAGTACGAGAAGCAAACAGGAAGGAACAGTCAAATTAGATAGGGTCTGCGCTTGTGATAAACGTTTCCACGTTCTGGTATACAACATCGCTGCCCGATCAGGTGAGCAACAAGCGCGCCAGCCCTCGCCAAGCAGGGGGTACTGACCCACAGTTGGTGCAGTTGAAGTGGTCGGGGTGGTAGGGGTCGTTCTTGAAGATGAGGGGCTGCTCGTCGATGATGGCGTGGCACTTCTGACAGATGTACTTCCCCAGGCCGCGCGCCTTCTCGCGGTTGTGACACGGGCGGCACAGGTGCCTGGGCAGAGAGGAGCAGAGAGGAGCAGAGGCAGAAAGGTCACAGGGGGGTCCACCATATTCCGCCAAATTAAAACGAGCACCTGCCACAACTGCAGAGTCACAAGATTTTCCCAAAGCCACTACTGTGCTCATGGCTTAAGTACCAGCCATTGGAATCCAATCCAACTGGTCAAAGATCTTCATGCAGACGTAATCTCTTTATTTGTATTCATTTTTCAACAAAGTTCAAACATTAAACATACAGTACAAACATTAAACAGACGTAAGATTAGGAGAACACAAGAAAAAACACCATGAAAGTCTAAATTATAATAAAGACACAGATACAAAGAGATCTCCAGTCTTCAATTCCCTTCTAGCTCTCTAGTGACATCTGTCATCCTCCTCATCCAACATAACTCCCTTCCTTCCTCAGTTTGTTGAGCCCGTAGAGGGACTCAAGCAACAATTCTGTTAGCTCCACTGGCAGATACCCTATGAGAAGTGACCATAACTTAAGGAAAAATCTTTCAGTTCCCTTCAGAACAATGCTAAGGTTTTCATGGGGCCGCATACTAAAAAGTTCTCTATACCAAAGAGTAATAGAGGTAAACTGTTATACACACTAGTCATTCAGGCTGCAGACCGATGACCTTTTATTAAATGGTCACCACTGCTCGGCCCATCACAGTCAGAATCCAAAATCTGTCCATCCAAAACAGATGGAGGGATGAACCTATATGTAATTGTACACTTAAAGTAAACAGGTGAATGACATGACAACATTTCAAAGTTAAACCCTCATTCTGCTGCGCCTTGCTCTGCAGGGGAGTCCCGTGAAACCGTGATGAGAGAGTGAACGATTGTGTGCCGGATCTGTAGGAGCCAGGAGTGCCAGGAGCACCAGGTCACACTCACCTGCCTGCGTTCTTCACAAAGCCCACGTCTGCCAGGACTTGCTGGCAGATGTCGCAGCAGAAGCAGTCTGGATGCCAGCTGTTGTTCATGGCCTTGATGACTCGGCCGATGATGAACTCACCTGGACACAGACAGCTAGTGTTACTAAGTCTGGGAGAAGGGAGACAACTCACAAGTGGGCAGGGATACCAGAGGCATTAATTCTAATTTATAATTAATTACATTTAACTGGCTGGTATGATGGTATAGTGGGTAACATGGCTGTCTTGCAACGTTGGAGCCATGCGTTCGATTGCAAACATGGGGTGCTATCTGCATGGAGTTTGTACTGTATATTCATCCCGTTTGTGTGAGTTTCCTCCAGCTACTCCAGTTTCCTCCCACAGTCCAAATTTAATGGGAAAATTAAATGTCAGTTCCACTATTCTTTAGAGGAATCACAAAATTGTGTCAAATTATTTTGATCAGTTACAGTTTACTTATGAAAACTATAGTCGCTACAGTAAGTAAGCACTCAGCGATATGTTTTGTACTCATAACCTTGCTCTTCTTGATTAACTTAAGGAGCAGATGTTCGGTCTCTAGAGGGCTTACCAGATAGTAGGTTTTACTCACCACACTCATGACAGCAGGGGGCAAACAGCATCTGGAAGTCATGCTCGCAGTACTTCCTCCCTTCAAACTAAAGTAATACGAATAAAATCAACCTACACAGACACACTATCACTCAGTACAAGACTATATTCACAATCTGCGAGCATTCATCACCAGTAAAGGATGCTTGCTCTACCTTGATATTTCATTGTTTCACATTTACTGCTTCACGGAGTGTTGGGAGAAAGTACAGTATTACATAATCATCTAACTCGAAAACAAAGAACAATTTTACTGCTCAGCTAATGTGGAAAGGATGTGCATTGTATGTGGCTGCCATCCTGGTGATGATTCAGTCCTGCATCAGTGTGGCTTACAGTGGTGTGATCAGGTAGCTGTACGTTTTTTTGGCCAAATCTATAAACCTATACTGTCACTGACTGCCAAGAGAGCTGTGAGCTTTTTTACTGGTTCACATGACTTTGTGATCAGCATGCGGCACTTGTGGACAGTGGATCAGCCCGAGGACTGTGGATTGTCATGCTGTGTGCTGCAGATCAAGCTCTCACCTCATAGAAGAGCCCCTCAGGGAACTGCTGGAAGCACTGCGCACAAACGAAGCACTGCTCGTGGTACAGCTCCCCGTTGCTGTTCACGATCTTCTCGGCGGGGGCAAAGCCACTTTTGCAGCGCTCACAGATGGCATTTGCCAGAGCATTTGCCATGTTGCTGTGGAGAAATAAAACGCACATTATTTCTTGCACTCTTCACCCAACAAAAGGTTGGACAGGTACTGTACTGTCGACACCTATGGGCTCCAGATGTCTACTGCTTCTGTCTTTTTTGGCTCTGGTGTCTGCAGAATTCTAATAGCACTAATCTCTGTCCCTCGGGTCTTCTTTGAAAAGATCTTCCGTGGGAAAACAAGAACTGAACTAGCATGGAAAATCTTGGGTCCTACCTGTTGCTAAACACAGAGACCAGGCCAGAGTAAACTAAAAAATAGATAAATGTTTTTCTAAGTAAAAAAATGGTTAATTATAGCACAACTATGGCAACTATGGCTCAATGAGTCTGAGAAGCCTACCAGGGACCACCTCTGCATAATGAATGAAATTTGCGGAGAGAACTATTGGGCTATAACATAAGGCATAGCAAGGAATTTTTCCAACCAGTTTACTCCAATCAATAATACGCCTCAGTTAGTTTTTACACATAAAATTCCTCCTCCCACGCAAGCCTTGTTTAATTCCAGTGGACAGTCAACACTGTCAAAGGTCAAAGGTCTTGAGGTTAGCAGGTTTCTTTTTTCATCTTGGGGCTCTTTAGTGAGCTTTCAAATGTGAAAAAATTTGACAGTTCAGAGCTGTCAGGTTTCTAAGTAGGAGCCAGAGGAGCTGCCGGCTGCGAATGGGAATATACATTTTTTTAACTTCCTCGCCCGTGTCTTTTGCATAGACAATCAAACCTCACCAAGGACACCATCGCAAACTGGACAAGGATGGCTCTGCTCGTCCATATACTGTGATGGCTGGGATCCTCTTAATCTGCCGTTTATGAGGGGGATGGAGATTAGAAACTCCTTACATCTGCAACATGTTATGAAAGCCCTTGGTTTGTTACACTAAAAGGAACACGGCGTTTCTTCCCAGCTCAAATGTTATGCCTTCCAACGAGTCTAAGGGAGGAGATACAGTAACTTCATCATTAAAAGGCTGGGGGAGAGCACTTCCTTTTTAACAACATTTTCAGATATAGTCCTTCTCACTTACAGAGGCCACTGTGGGTACACAGATAGCACACAAACACAGCACCGATATACATATTTAAGGAGGGAGTAAGAAATAACACGTTTAATTTAAAGATTCCTGTTTATCAGTGACACACTTTACACCACATTGTTGCTGCGTGAGTTCAGGTCACTTTTAAATAAACCACATAAAACTATCAAAATGTCCAGTAATAAAAGATCCGGTACGATGAATTTTTAATCCTGTGTGTTATTAGAGGTGAAGCTGGGTGTGTTTTTAAGAATTAAATCATTGCCTTCCTATGACTGTACTATATATAAAATAAAACCCCTATAGGATAGCTGACTAAGATACACGTATGGAACTAGGACTGCTCATTGTACAGCCCTAAGACAGGCAGAAATTTGAAGCAGGCACCCAGCAAATTTCCAGTTTCCATGAGGACTGCAAGACAAAATGTGAATATAGCACAAGTCAGCAGATAAGTCTTCAGCAAGACAGTTGAGCATTAACTAGAAAATGCACCCCCTTCACGTTGGCTTTCCATGAAGTTAGTCACTCTCAATAATTTACACTGCTTTGAAAAAAGAAAAGAAGGTTTCCCTGCTGTTGGGCTTAATAGGTCGAAATTCCACTGTGCCTCTTGGAGAATGTCAAACGTACACAAAGACCAATTATACGACACCTCTCGCCTTACAAGGACAAGATGGGATTTCTGCCAGGACTGCGGCCACGGCCAGATGAACAGCCTGGGAGTTCGTTTAAAAAGTCGATTTGTGATTACTTCACAGTGTTGGTGGGGCTGGGGTGTAATGGCGATTTTCACAACACCCTCGTGTTCCAAGCGATGGACAGGATGTACAGCACACACACCCGCCTCTGAAGTAGCAGCCTGCGGGCCCTTCAGTTGTCGAGATGTAGTGATCTACAGCACACACAGCTCGAGCGCCAGAGCTCCTGGCAGAGCCAGACAGGCTGACTGCGCCCGCCGCTACGGCCGTTCCTACACCACTTTAAAATAGAAAACCACCCCATGCTAATGCTTGCCGAGTGTGAGGGTTTTAAAGGACAAGAGCCTTCAAACTACCTTGCAAGTAGAAGATTGTACCTACCCAGGACACAAACACTACCGGTGAGAATGTCTGGTTTTCATATACAGTACAGTTCCTCCCACCACCACAACAGGACCAGTTCCAGCTCAGGCTGGAATAGCGCTCAGTGCAGAAATGCTAAGCATGGCATGTAAATGTCAGGCTCTCTCTCCCTCTCCCCCCTGTCAGACAACAGCGAGAGGAAATGACAAAGCTCCTAAGCCTTTGTACCGCAGGGCTAGCCAGCAACTCCCTGGAAAAAGCAAAAATGCACTTCTTGTTATTTGCTTTTACAAACATGTTTCCTGAAAACCCCAGAGGGATCAATCATTTGCACAATCAATCTTCGAGTTGGCTGCCACTCCTTCCCCAAACTATCTATGCATCGGAAACTTCTGCATTTTAATATATTTGATGGGCCATCTGCCTTTAAAGATATGATCTACTCAGTCGATGGACAGCTTAATTGCAAACGGGATTGCATATTTTTGCACACATCTTACAAACCACTTACAGTATTTGAGCTGTACCCATTTTATAAAGAGGTGTACTGTAAAGGTTTGGTCCAAAATCTCTGCACTGTTGCACCAATAAAGAAGGGGCATCTTGTTCAACTGGAGCCTTATATTTTGACACATCACATAATAGTCCACCTACTGTACAGTGCTTAAACACGTGCACTCTAACACAATGTTTGGGAGAAATCTGTAACTGAATAAACAAGAGCAAATCAAAACTTGTTTACAAATGTGAGCAGGAGCCTGATTTCACAGCGGTCCTATTTGATGAGCTTGGCACAGATAGGATGTTTTCTTCCCGTGTAATGAAAACCTCACCACTTCCCATTACTTGGCAACCAGCAGCAAGAGTCAACGGCTCTAGTCACAGAGCACTCGGGTCTTCGTTTATCCCCCCCAATTACTCTCTCAAATTATTTAACTGCACGATGGTTATATTTCGGGAAGCACAATGG